AGAGGCTGCTACAGGAACAGAGGTGGGAGCGTGAGAGGGAAGCCAGCACAGGAACTGCTCCCAGAGCCAGCGTCCTCCAGCTTCAAGCTGTCCACACATATTACGTGAAATAGAAATTGCCAAAACTTACCAAATACTTCAGTAACCAGTTATGGGGGGGGGGGGTACCTCCCTTCTTGCAGATACAAACATTGCTTTTTCCTTACATACAGTAACATACCATTTGATGTCTGATACTGTCAGACTTAACAGACAGAAATGCCCACCATGGGGAGCAGTGTGGGAAGCAGTTAAGAGTGCCAAACTGCTTGGATTCACAACAAAGCTCTACCCTGTACTAACTGTGTAACCTGGGGCAAGTTACTTAACCCCTTGGTGCCTCAGTTTCCTCTTCTGTGATATGCAGATAATAAAATCTCAGCTGTGTAAAGATGACAGATTAATAACATATAAAGTGCTTAGAACAGTACCTAGCAAAGTTCACACTAACTGCTGCCCATTACTGTTTTCTTATTTTGCTAGTTTTCATTTCACTCCTGACTACTTTCTTTTTTTCTCTTCCATACTGTATTAGTTTCTTATTGCTGCTGTGACAAACTGCCACAAACTTAGTGGCTTAAAGCATACAAATTTATCTTACAGTTCAGAGGTCAGAATTCTAAAATGGGTTGGCAGGGCTGCATTCCTTCTGGAGGCTCCAAGGGAGAATTGGTTTTCTTGCCTTTTCCAGCTTCTAGAAGTAGTTACATTCTTTGGCCAGCCACTCCTTCCTCTCATTACCCCTACCTCCTATTAGGGACTCTGATCCTCTTGCCTTCTTTTATAAGGAACCTCTAGAATAGATTGGGCCCACCCAGATAATCCATGATAATTCCCTCTTCTCAAAATCATTTTAATCACATCTGCAACATTCCTTCCATCACATAAAGTAGCATATTTACAGGGTCCAGGGATTAAGACTTCGACACCTTTGGGAGGTCAATGGCATTATTCAGATTACCACACATGCCTCTCCAAAGCCTGAAATTAAAGACTGTCAAGATTTAGGTAGGCCCAGAGGGGAAAACCAACAATATTAGTAGCTAACTTTTTGAGCACTATGTTCCTGGCACTATGTAAAGTGCTATAGGTAAATTATCTTACTTAGGTCCCATACAGAAATGTTAATTGCTTGCCTAAGATTTAGAGCTAGTAGGTGGCAAAGCCCATGTAAAGCCAGTTAAACTTGATTCTAGAGCCCTTGTATGTGACCAAGAGAGTGCCTCGTCCATTGTAACTGGGGGGCACCATGACCATTAGCAGTTTTAGAGACTGGACCACAGAGGTACACATGATCCCTGGGCACACAGAGACGGGGGTCCACCTAAAAGGTCCATGCTGAAAAGTCCACATAGATGGCTAAGCACTCAGAACATTTTCTCATATTCAAAAGCGACAACTTGGGGTTACACAAGAATTTCTTCACATGTAAGTGTGGACCAAAAAGCCTTAAGGGGACCATCTAAGCCTGCCATTACTTGGAGAGGGAAGGTGAAAAGATCATTGCTGACCCTAGGCCAACCCTGCAGTTCCCAAGGCATGCACCAAAAATGATCATTATACATGGTTCCCAAAAAAAGAGGGGAACTGACAGTCTTTCCTAGAGAAACTTACAATTTAGTCAGATTGATTCAGATCCTCTGAAACCATAGCAGGAAGTCACAGAACCTCAGTGGGCCACCAGAGTGGCGCTACCCATAGTTCAAGTCAGTACACACCAGAACCAAACCATCGTCTGTCTTCCAACCCACAACAGTTAATGAGTACACGACCCCCACATGTACCCCAAGTTTTAATAAGGTCCCAGTGGTTTTACCAATGCCCACAGTAAGCGGCCTCTTACCTACCAGTTCTTATATAGCAAATGGCTCAAAACCAACTATGATTGGCATAAGGTGGAAAGCGACAAGCCAAACAATTGCTAAGCATGCCTATTTACAGTGGTTTAACTATCCATAGCATTTCAAAACCTCAACTGCTAAACAATTTAGCTGTATCTCTATCTGAGACTTTCTAATCACCTGAGTTAATGCTATTTGGTTTCACAAAGACAAAAAAGGGTCAGTTATTTGTTTGGGGGTGATGAGCCCAGAGGCTGATGTACAAAGTTCAAGGGAATGAACTCTGGAGCCAGCCTATTCTGACTGAATCCTGGCTCTGGCACTTTCTTGCTATGACTTCTTGTAATTTACTTAAATCTTTTGGTTCCTCAGTTTTCCCATCTCTATACTTCCTTGTCCAAAATTAGAAGTCTTTGGCTTTTGTAATGGTAAGAGGGTATATATGCCATACATTACAAAACACTGTAGGTGGGATCCACAGCGAACATGTCTATCCATTATTTTTGAAACAAAAATGTATACATAGTTCTTACCAGGTGAGAAAACTAACTTTAAATGTAAATGTAAATGGCCATGGGGCTTGTGACTACCATACTGCGTACAGCATAGCTGTAGAGGGCGGGGTTCCAAGTGGCCCAGGAAAACCTATTTAAACCATAACACAGGTGAATTAAAGTGTTAATAAAAACAAGCCTGAAATTTACATCCTGGGAGCAAAGAAGACCACATGATGCTAAAAAGTTTTACTTTCTAGGCCCCATGGCTGGCCCATGACAAAGCGTATCGTTGATAACTTTTTTCCTTTACTCTCCACTCCCCATTTCCAACACTCCTCTAGGCAGCATATAACTGGGCTATATGCTTCCCTAAGACCCCATGAATACCTCCTAGCCCTTCTACAGGAGTACCATGCCCCCCACTTGTCTTTCCTTTCCCCAACCAAATTCCCACCTGCTCAACACCAGGATCTCAAGCAAATGTCGGGAGGAAAGCAACTTGATCAAGCAAATTCACACTGTAGGCTGTTACTGCTTTTTCTGGCTTTTTCCCTGCTTCTCCTTCTAAACCCAGAAGTTCTAAATCATTGTGTTCCCCTGGACCCCTTCTCGCCTAGCAAACATAGCCCAGGCAGAGAGAAGGAGCCCCCAACTGAAGCAGTGGTTGTCCTGTGTCAGCTGCTTGCCAGCCAGGTGTGTGAAAGGCAGGAACTGCCAACATACACATGTGCAGAGCTAATACTCCTCTTGCCCAGGTATGGGAAACATTACCTGCTCTCTGCTTTAGAAAACATCGTGTACAATTCTCTTCAACATTCCTTTAATCATTTAGAAATTTGTGTAACAAATTACACATTGAATGAATTTCTTAAAGTATAAAACAAAAGCCCAGAGAAGACTGTGATTAACAACAGTTGCAAACAGAAAAAGAAAACCAACCACCTTCACTGGAATCTACCATCACCACAACCCACTTGAGCTTAGAATTTTTAATGACACAGGTCAACCTTGGAACACATCCAAGAAGCTTATGCTACTAGAAAGACTGGAAGGACGTCCCTCCAGCTCAATCTCACCTCTTACTTGGCCCCAAGGACCAAAGATGATTACTATGCATGGCTCCTGGGTATAAGGAAAATATCCCCTGTGGATGGTAAGTGAGGGACAATAAGAATGGTAACTATTATGCTCATCTTTAAATCCTTTGATTACATTACCTCCTCCAAAGTAGAGATTTGTGTTGAAGAATCAAAGTCTTACCATTTAATACCAGTCCCTACTTATCTCTAGAGGGTCTTCTAGGTGCAAGCACTGTGTCAAAGAAAGCCACAGTTAATGCCTTTGGTAGGAGGAAAATGAAACATCTACATAAATAACTCTCAAAGAAGGCAGAGAGGAGAAAGGCTGCTGCAGGAATCAGAGCAGGGGAAGGCTGGCTATTTGGGGCTGGGGTATCAGGGAAGGTCTCACTACAGCAACAAAACTCAGTTTGAAAGCTAGTTAAGAGTTAGGGTGGTGATATGGGGCAGGAAGAGTATTTGGAAAAAGGAAAGGATGTTCTACATGACAATATCATCAGGCATTCTTCAGAGAGTTATTTTCAAAGATACAGCTGCATACAGTATCCAGAGATAGCCCACCTCCCCTTTTCCCCCAATGACCCAATGACAATGGGGCCCCTATATGGATATCCATAGAATCACGTGCATCCACCTCCCAAGACAGGTTCTCAAAAATTCTCTCTGGTGGGATCCAGCATTCTTGGCCACAGCTGTGCCCATTCTGTGGCAGTGGCCCCACCCTATCCCTACCAGCGGTTCCTCAAGTAAGAAACACACGAGAACACACTAATCTTGCAGGGATCTAAATGACCGGCTAGCAAATTTTGTGTAATGCAATTAAAATTATGAACCGTGGAAATAAATATCTTTGATGAAGTGAACCCTGCTTAACATCTACTCAGGGAGCTCACTATTTAAAATGACTGATAAGTTTTTAAATGCTGAATCTTTCTTACAATGAATAATTGGTTGAGTCCGTTGAACCAAGTGTTTCGTGACTTATAAGTACCAGGCAAGGGGGTTAAGAACCCCATACATTTACACTGTGCATTTACCACGCAGAACTCCTAGCTCCAAGTTATTCGCGATCCCAGGATTAGAAGACTTAGAAAAAAGTCGTAGTTACCAGCTAAAAGAGCCTACACACAATATTGTATTTTCTAGGACTTTATGCAGATAAATCTCTCCAGGAACAATTCCTTGAGCACCTTCGCCGAAATTCTGTCACCAAAAGGGCTGACGCTTTTCTTCTTTTGTACTGGCCACCTCCACACGGTGCACGCAAACTGAAGTGGGGGCCTGAGGCGACCATCTGAGGGAGCGAAGGAGGAGGCACTCCAGGGCGTCCTGCAGCCCACAGGAGGGCTGGCCCGCATTCGCTGCGGAGGCGCCTGCCTCGGTTCCCCGCGAGTCTGGGGTCAGGGGTGGGGTCAGGGTTTACACTTCCGCCAGGTACGCGGCGCTGGGCGGCCGCCCCGGGCGGAGCTCCTCGTGTAAGGATAAGAGCCCACCTCTCCCCCGCTCCAAGCCTCAGCAACCGAGCGACACAGTCGTTCCCTCACCTTTCCTTTCCTGGCCCGTCGCGCCGGAGTTCCCAAGTGCAGTGTCCCTCAGGGACGCGCTTGTCGCTAGCGGCGTCGGGTGTCCCCGCTACTGTATGTCAGCGGCGGGGCGGCTGCCAGGAGCGCGCAAGAACCAGGCAAGTGCCGGGGAGGCAGAGCCCGGGGCGCAACGCCCGCCGCAGCTCCCGCCCCGCGCACCCGCCGGGGTCCGCCGCCCACGCCGCCCGCCCGAGAGTCCCGCGTTCCCGGGTGCGCCCCCGCCGGGCGCCGCTCCCTCGCTCCGCGCCCGCAGAGCTCTGCACGCTGCCCGGACGGCGGCGCGAGCGGCTGCAGGGCCCCCGCCCTGGGCCGGGCTTTCCCAGAACTCGCCCGCCCCGGGTGAGAGGCCGCGAGCGCCGCCGCGGGCAGCCGGGCTGCGCGGGGAGCGGCCTGAGGCGGACACGCCCCCGGCCTCGGGCCGCGCAGGGAGGGCGGGTGCGAGGGGTGGACGCGGCTGCCCACTACCCGCGCTTGGCCGCCGGCAACGCGACCCCCACCAGCTCTGGGCCCCCGAAAGCCGTCGCTGGCCCAGGCCCAGGCGGGAGCTGGCGGGAGCGCTGCCTGGTCGCCTGGCCCCGGCGAGGGCGGGAACTCAGTACACCTCAGGCCGCGGGAATTTAGTCTCACACCTACCCCCAGGGGACCCTGCTTAATAGACGGGAAACTGAGGCTCGTAGCGGTTAATTTACTTGACCAAAGTTACTGAAGTTAATGATAGTGCCAAGTCTCCAACCCGTTCGGTCTTTCACTCACTTAACAAACGCGTATTGAGCACCACAACATGCCCAGTGCTATGCTAGGCCCTGGAAATAACTCCTTTTGCTGCTATTAGCGGCCACCCAGGTCTGTGGACTCCAAATCCAGTGCTCTTTCATTGCTGAAGCAAACATAGAGATGTTCACCACTGCCAGAAACTACAGGCTCTGCAGTGAACTTTTCTTAGCCGCTGAGGTGGTTTTTATAGCCAGTTGGCAGTCACAAGAACCATAGACCTGGAAAAAAATCAAATTATCATCCCTTCTCCTTTTCCCGTCTTCCTCCTCCCTCTCTACCTATTCTAACAGCAAATGACCCTTCCATAGGCCTGAGCCCTCTGCCTGCATTCAGTCAGGACCAGTTTCTGTGGCCCATAACCCCTCCCATCTGTCCTCTCCTTGGACTGAATCATTCCTCAAACCACAACCATGTTATTCATCCTCTTCTACAACTTTAATCTATGCAGAAACCTTCACTGGCTCCCCACTGCCATCCAGACTAACTCCCTATGACAGTTGGAACCCAACATGCCCTGGTTCTTGTGGACCACCCAACATGATGTCTCTCTCACTCCAATTCTGTACCAGTCCTTAGCCTGAGCCTCTACCTAGAGCATCACCACCTCCTCCCACACACTTTCCTCCTGCTCAAGTTTGACCCTGTCTTTCAGGCCACTGTTAAAAGTGACCTCCTCTCCTTTGAGCCTGTAGGACACAGGAGTGGTTGGAGCAAGAATGCATAGGAGGGTACCAAAGAATTCACCCTATAAGAAAAATGTGCCAGCCTGGTCCTTAAACTGTTTTGCTGTTTTCTTACCACTAGGATTTTAATGAAAATCAACATTACCTCCTCTCTTGTGAGCTGGTTTCAGAAAGATCTCTGCAAAAGACTTGGAGGAAACTTTGTTCATTAAGAGGTTGAGATTTTAGAGCAATCAAGAATGGCCATTTACTCCAGCCTCTGAGACTACACTGTCCACAAGGTAAGCTGTTTATCTGATAGACAATTTTATATTCTGCTGTTATAATGCATGTAATGAATCTAGTAATATCAAGCCATCAATCACCTGTAGTCCCCAAAGACTTGTATTTTTTTAAAAAGGCACATGGGAATTAGTAGATTGTTACAAACTGGTGGATGCATAAGCAGTTAACATTGAATCCTCCAAATGAGTCATTGCACTGTTATTGCTCAAGGCAAGTCTAGGTCTATTGGGCAGGAAAGTTGTCTGAGTGTGATAATCACCATCACCCCATCCCTGGAAAAGGGCACCTTCCCCAAAACTTTGCAAAGAGAGCTAGTCCAAATCAATGTCCTTTGCTTGCCCCCTCGCTCCCTCTCCAAATGAGAGTGGAGGGAGCCATGTCCCTGAAGCTGCCTCACCGCATTGGAATGTCTGAGCTAACAGTGCTTCCAGAGGGTTCATTGCTCCTCTCAACAGCACTGCCCAGACTTTCTGGAGATTTTAATTCACTCCCTAACCTCGCCAACAGTTGCACACAAGGTGCCTTTTTTACACCCTGCTCTCTGTTCAGTGAAACACGCAGACCATCTCAGAGGAACAATGGCTCCATTCAAGACTTTTTCAAAAGTGCAGCATATAACCTCCTTACTGTGGGTCGCTGCCAGCCATTATCTGGAGAAGAAAGACTGTCAGATAAAGTGCCTATGAATTGAGGGAGCACTGGACAGTTTCCATGGAAAATTCGGCTTCACTGAACTGAGTTATGCATCTTTGTATACAAGACATTTCTACATAGTCAACAACAACAACAACAAAAGCCCCAAGAAATGATCCTGTGGAAAGTATTTAAATATCATGCATCTGTGTTTGAAATTTCAGCCGAGAGCACAAATCACTTTTGAACTTGTTACATAATGGTCTCTGTTTGATGGAAATGGATTTAAATAAGTTGTATATGTTGGGACTACAGAATTTAAGTTGTAAAATCATTTTAAGAAGTGTAATTATATTCCTACGTTCTTCCTCTTCCATTCTGTATTTTTCAGATGGCGGTAGGGAGGCTGGTCTCTGACTTCATGGTTGTTGATGCCAACAGGAGGCCCCACTTCCCCTACCGCACATATTACAGAAAAATAGATTGGCTCTTTGCCACACTCAACAAGCCAGTCACCATTAACCCATTTATAAACAAACCTGAGGTTAGGAACTGAGTAGTCAGCACAGGCACCATGGACAAATATATTGATCTTTGTGAAACAGAAGCTGATTGCCAAGCAGAGGAATTTGCCAACAGATGTCTAAGTAGTCCTGAAAGCCAAGGAAGAACTGAAGGAACAAGCCAGCCCTTAGTTTAGGAGTTGCCTTTTCCTCCCATTCAAAGTCACTGCCTCAGATTATACCAGGTTTACCAGCTGTCAGCAAATATGCTAATGAGTTCAGACAGTGGGGAGAGGGCCAAAACATGCTTTCCAGGGTTATGTGATATGTGATGGTTGAAGTACTAAGGCAGTTTGAGGTTGGTGAAAAACAACCCTGTTAAAGTAGTAGTTAGCTCTACTTCTGTGAGGTGGTTAGGAAACAGGAGAGACAATCCTAACTATTACCTCTCACACAGCCAGTATTAGTGGCACAGACTTTGGTGTAGGACCACTTGAGTTGAAATCCCAGATTCACCCTCAGGTATGAACCCTTGGACAAGTCACTTACCTCTCTGTGTCTAAATGTTCATCTTCTGTAAACTATTTCTACCCCTCAGTATTGTTGTGAGGATTAAATGAGTGAATATATGTGAAACACCTAGAATGTATAATGATTTCTTAATTAAATAAAACCCAGAACTCTCTTTTCACTGATAGTATTTTAAAAACAGGATCTCTTTGGAATATTGCAAATATCTTATTAATGTTTTGACAGAAATTCATCTATTTTTTTCTGGAATCTCATTATAATATTTGGTTCAGAGTTACTATCAGCAAAATGTAGGACCAGCTCAAATTGTTTCAAGGAGCCATAACTAAAACTTCTAAAAGCACAATTAAAAACAAAACTTTGAGCTATACTATAATAAAATCCCAATGCATAGTCATTGGGGCTAGAGATTTCTCTAGGTGCAATTTTTAAGGTTTCTTGTTGTTTCTTAGTGGTCAAAATGTTCCTTGGAATAAGAGAGCTCTGATACAATAAAAGAACAAAAAGAAAAATAATATTTGCTTGAAAAACATCATCTTTTCTCTAAACTTTGCTTAGGAGTAAGTCTGCTAGGAAAGTGGCTATAGCTCCTGGGTGAACCCAAGTGCCATGAGTGGTCAGTAGCCACAGGTGGAGGGTGGAGGACATGAAGGAAGGTATGCACAGGCCAATTTGTTCACCGATTCTTCAACTGGAAACTTGGTGCCAGTCAGTTCCACAAGCCTCCAACAAGCTCATTCTTTGGTTTTTCTGCCATTTCTTCTTTATTAACATCAGCATTTCACTATCTGCTAGCCTTCCCAGATTGTTTTATTTACAATGATTGTTTTAAGCACATCCTCACATTGTCAACCACTCCTTCTGCCAAAAACTAATAGCAATGATAACAGCAACTGTAATTGAGTGCTTACCATAATACCATTCTTTTTTTTTTTCCATTCAAAGAATATGTATTGAATACCTACCATGTGCTAAGCATTGTTCTAGGTGCCAGAGACAAGGCAGTGGATACAGCAATCAAGAAAATCTGTGCCTTTGTGGTGCTCATATTCTGGCAGGAGTAAACAGACAATCAGTAAACGAGGGTGGAGGAGGGGAGTAAAGCAAATAGTATAGTAGAAGATGATAAATGCTTGGAAACAGCAAAGCAAGGAACCCAGAAGACCGGGAGTGCTTCAGGGCTTGAGGACTGCAGTTTTAAATAGAATAGTCAGGTAAGAATTCATTGAGAGATGACATTTGAGTAAAGGCATGAAGAGATGAGTGAGGCTGGAGGACTGTGCTTATTTTCCTCCAGTACACATTCTTTACTTGTCTTCTTTAGTTATTAAACTTTCTCTACCCTGTTTTGGCCTGGCCAACACTTGCTCACCACTTTCCCAGCTTTTCTTGCGTCCAGACATGACTAAGTTCCAGCCAGTGATATATGAACAGGAAGAAAGTATGCAATATTCAGTAACATCTTTAAAGTTGGGGCTGCTTGCTTATGATTTCTTTTCATCCTTCCCATAATGTGAGAATTGGCAAGATCTAGGGCAATAGTACTGGCCCAGAGATGGAAGCTCCATGCAGAGAAAACAGAGCTGCCACAGCTCTCCAGGATACTTCTGGCATTATCCTAGAGGATTTTCAGATCCATGCTCCCTTCCAATATTGGGAACACATAGTGCCTTCCATGAAGGCAGGAACATGTACACAGTATGTCCCCAACATGGAAAACCAAGCCTGAAAAATTATAGGTTCTCAGAAAATCCAGCAACCACCTTGCCTCAGTGCTTTCCAACACGACTCAAACTCAGCTGTTTGCAGGTCACATCTTGGCCCTCCAAAGTCTCACCTCTGAAATTCCCTTCTCTGATCACAGTCTTCCCTTCTTC